CATGCTGCTTCAGCGTGGCTGGTTCCACAGCACTGCCTAGCTGATGGTGCTGGTCTTTATTCACCAGTATTGCCAGGTTCTCAGCCCTTGGGCCAGACTTGGGGGCCATGGGAATGTAGTTGTCCCCATACCCTCCCCAGTGGGTATTGGGGAGATGACTGGATTTGGGTAGTGATAACACACAGGGCTGCCTCTGCTTAGTAGGTCACCCAACATGTGTGCATTGAGCCCATACTGTGTGCCATGTGCAGGTGATGAGCAGCAGGGATTTAAAGAAGCACACACAGACTCAGTCTAAGAATTTTGAATGCCAAGGGGAATGCTGAGAATTGTAGCAGCTTCTTCCAGTGCCAGGGGTTAGAACCTGGATTGAGAAAGCAGAGCACATGAAGATAGAAGGCTCCGTGGAGAGCCAGGGCCCCAGAAGACTTCCTGGTTCAACCTACAGTCACCTTTCTTCCCCCAACCTGCCATGTACAGAAAGCAGACGTGTGTGGGCCAGGGGGGCAGGAATCTTTGGCCCGGGAGCGTTGGGGATGGGCTCAGGCATGACACCAGTGTGGCTAGGCTAAGCCAGTAGCACGCCACCTTCTGGGAGGTCCTGTCATATCAGAGACTGGTTCTCACCTGGGAAGATGTCTGAACGAAGGCTGAGGTGGAAGAAGGGCCAGGATGATGTTCAGCATGCCTCCATGACTAGGTTGCTATGTGAGATCCAGGTCTCCTTTGCCTCTGGGGCCAGCTTCGGTACGGAAGTGGATGGGATAAGTTATGGATGGTGCATGAGTCCTAGTCAGTGCCCAGAATCAAAGCAGGGAGTGTTGTAGTTGTAAAAGGATGCTGTTGGTGCTTGCGGGAAGTGCCGCTCTCCTGGAGGGCAGTCATTCATCGGCATTGGGGACTGACTTTACCCCAGGCCCGTGATGAAGGTTGAGAAGTAGAAATTCTACTCCAAGGAGCTGTCAGACTGGGGAGGAAGGACACAAGGACCAGACAGCTTGAGAGGTGCTGAGATCAGTGTCTGCTTGGGAGCAATGACCACTGTCTGGGAAGAAAGCTTCAAGGAACCAGGCTTGGGGTGGGCTCACATCTTGTCCGAGACCCTAAAGAAGAGAGCTGAGATGGCCAAGTGTGGTGTGTGGACTCTGCCCCCCACCAACAAGTGTGGTGTGTGGACTCCCCCCCTCCCCCCACCCCGCAGACAGACTGAGGATAATGTAGGCATCAGATTCTTCTGAAATCCCACATCCCACCTTCAAGCTGCTGGCATGGCCTGGCCAGCACACCTCGATTCTGTATTTATAAAATAATTTGTTGAAATGATTACATGCAAATAAAATACAAGAGGAAGACTCTAGACTCAGCTTCCTGCTTTGTGCAGAAGTGGCCGTGCCTGCTCCTTGGGGTCATCTTTGCATCTTCTAGCATAGCAAGTTGTCAATAGGCCACCCTCCCCTCACCCTTCCAGCGGTTCCCCTTCAGCCCATGTCTGTAACATGCTCCCTACCTCCACTGCTAGTCCCCCTCTGTCACCCGATGCACCTGCCAACCCTTTTTATAGTCTTTGCTCCCTCTCTGTTCGAGAGCAACGATCTGGTTTCCTCTGCTGTCACTGAAATTGGGTGGACGGAGAAGAGTGTGTGGAAAAGATGGAGAGAGGGTGTGGCAGCTAAGAGCACTTGCTGCATGTTTTTCGTGCATGGTCTTATTGATCATCGGAGAGATCCCAGGAATCATTTACTCACCCCCATGACTGGTGAAAATGAAGGACTGTGACTACAGAGCACTGGGAGGCAAGCCTTGTCTTCTGATTTGAAAGCCAACACATACTATGGATGTGAAGAGGGAGCCTCAGCTGAGAAATTACCTCCTGTGATGTTTACCTCTTTATCAACTATCTGGATTTGGAACCACCTAGGAGATACACCTCTGGGTGCTCCTATGAGGTTGTTTCTGGGGGTTGTTTAACTGAGGAGATTAAGACCAGCCCTAAATATGAGGGACACAGTTTCACAGCTAGGGACCCGGATTGAATAAAAAATGGACACTAGCATTCCTCCCTCTCCCTCCTCCCTTCTCCCTAACTGTGGGCACAATATAACCAGCTACCATGGGCTCTGGCTCCCATGCCTTCTCTGTCGTCATGATAGACCATCCCCTCAAACTGAGAGCCAAATAACCCCTTCCTTCCTTAAGTGGCTTTGCCAGGGACTTGGTCACAGCAAAATTAACTAAGGCATAGCTCATCCCCTTTCTAGGAGAGAGATATTGAACCAGAACCTTTCTGAGGCTGTGGCTCAGTGGTGTCAGGAGTCAGCTCTTGGGTGACAATATATAACTTACGGGCTTTCGCTTCCTCATTTTATAAAGGAAAGGGTGAAGAGTTCCCAGCTCAGGCAGCTGCCAGGCACAGTGTGCATACAGTAGGCGCTCAGTTAATCTTGGCTGGCACCCTGGAATTGTAGACCCCTGCTCCAGCAGGCTGTTCTTGCACGTGGCCCTTACAGAGAGATCTGGTTTGGTTTCCCTCCAGGATCCTGCCTCCTGATGCTAGGAAGCCTTGGTGTTTCTCTCCAGAACCTTGCTTGTCACAGTTGGTGGCATCAGCTGCTTGTTAGGAAGCCGCAGCTGTGGAGGCTGGTAGCTGGTGTTGCTTTGCCAGTCCCTGGAGAGGAAGGGCCGTGTTCAGTCAATGACCGGCCTGAGAGAATGGCAGGCGCCAGCCCAGCCCAGCTCAGCCCAGGGGCAGACGTGACATGGGGAAGGGACTTGTGGCTGCCTCCCCTTCCCCCCCCTCCTTCAGCTCCCTCCAATTCTCCCAACCCCCTTTGTGCAGGGACTGGACTGGCTCATGAAGCCACAGCTTTGGCTCTGCCAGGTTTCTGTTTGCCAAGCTGACTTGGGGACCATGTGGTCAACACCCTAGCCAGGGCACCCATCCCCGGCTTTGACTCTTCCTGTCCTCCATGCCAGGCTGTACTAGGGCAAGCGTGTTCTTGACCTCAATCACTCCCCCACCCCGAGACCTCTGCTGTGCACTCACCAGCCACAGAGTGCAAAGAGGTGAGACTCGGGGTCATGTGACTTGCCCAGGGCCATGTGGCCAGCCAGTGGCTGAGCTGTGCAGCACTTGGTCCAGTCTTGGCCTGAAGCCTGGATGTCGGTGAGAGGTAGCAATTGGTGGCCCTGACAAGGCGGTTGGGGAGATGTGTCCTCTTGCTCCAGGGGGACATTGGCTGCCTGGGGTAAGATCTGTGGATAGGGTCGGGATCCCACAGCAGTTCCACAGCAGAGGAGCCCGGAGATGTGGTGAGCAGCATCGGATGTGAGCCATAGTGTCCACCAGGTGTCACCCAAGTTCTAGAAAACGGTCATTAAAAAAACAAAGGGTCCCAAAGCTGTGACTAGGGGAAGGGGGAATGACAGGCTCTTCAGAACTCAGAAGAAGGACTGGTCAGTGAGGGAGCAAGGACAGCGCCCTCCTCAGGCCTCGGGGTAGACCTCACAGCTCGGGAAGATGGACCAGGAGACACAAGGAGAGTACTGTGGGAACAAAGACCCCCCCTCTTCCTGCTCTTCCTCTCCCCTAGCCCTACCCTATGGCCTCTGGGGTACACCTGTGGCTGCCACAGACTTGAAATAATCTTCATCTGTCCTGGCATGCCACAGGGTACCATGCACAAAGGTCCCACATGCCTTCCCCCCCCACCTAGACCTGGGTGAGCTCTTGGGGAACAGGGCCACCCCTGGGAACACAGGAAACCGTCAATACAGTCTCTGTCTTCTTCCAAGGTCTCATAAAGAGCTGGTTCTGCGAAGCAGAAAGGATGCTTCACTAAGGACTGAGGCAGGGGACAGAGCCCATATGTGGCAGCCTCACCTCCCCTGAGAACTTCCTCCCCCATCCCCTCAGGAACACTGGGTAGGTTAGTTTTTGTCCACTTTACACACACTACAGTTGGGAAGACGAGCCTCCACTGAGAAATTGCCTCCATCAGATTGGCATGTGGTCATATCTATGGGGCATTTTCTTGATTAATGATTGATATGGGAGGGTCCAGTCCACTATGGGTGATGCCATTCCCTAGGCAGAGGTAGGATGCATAAGAAAGCAAGCTGAGCAAGCCATGGGGAACTGTAAGGAGCTTTCTTCTGCTCTGCCTCTGGTCCTGCTTGAGTTCCTGCCCTGACTTCCCTCAGTGATCAACAGTGAAAGGCATGTTTAAGGCAAATGAACCCCATTCTCCCCAAGTTGCTTTTGGTTATGTGTTTATCTCAGCAATAGAAATCAAGGTAGGGCAATCACCTGTGGCTCTGGACACTGGGCACAAATTCGTGGAGGAACCTGAGTGGGAGAAAGGTGGGATGTGGATGGGTTGCTCCATCTATAGCTGCTCCACTTCCTCTGAGGCATCTGACCTCAGAGCTAGTAACCAGGAGGACCCAGATCTCCTGCCTCTCTCACCCCACCCCCTCCAGCTCACTAAGACAGCTGCTCTTTCCCTGGCTGTCCTATCAAGTTGTGACCTTCAGGCCAGAGGTTCCATCACAGAAGGGACACCAGAGACAACACTGGAAGAGGATAGTATTGTCCTCAGCCAATCCTCCTTGCTGCACATCAGTGTGGACCCAAAGAGGGGTGGCTGAATGTCCTTCTCAGGATTCAGAGCACAACTGTGGCTTTGGAGACTTTGGGACAGCTGCTGTTCCCTCTCTGGGCCTCAGCTCATCATCACAAAAGGGCAAGCATCCTGAGTTCACACTGGCTGCCATCATTGCGTGGAGGGTCCCTTTGCCCTTGCCCATGGCCCAGGCATTACTTTCCTGTCTTCTCAGGCTGTGCCTTTAGCTGCACAGGGCCACATCTCCCCACAAGCAGGGGGTGAGGGGAAGGATGAGGTCATGCCAGCTGTGGAATGTCAAGGAACCTGTCTTCTCCAGAACTAGAGACCTAGGAATATGTCCCTGTGCCCACCCTGACCCTAAGAAGGACCCAGCAGTGGCAGTCAAGACTGGGGGGCTTTTATTAGTCTGAGGAGGGAATGTCGTATTCTGTGGAGACTGGGAAAGAGGGGAGTGGGGGGCTGAGGTATAGGGGGCCGGATCCTACAGCAGTAGAGTCTCATTGGTCCAGCCTTCTCTATAGGTGTGTGCCCATGAAGGAGTGTACAGGCCTGGGGTCAAAACTCAGCAGGAAGCTCTCTGGGCACCCTTCCAGCTCTACCCTTGGCTTGGGGTGGGGCTGGTGAGGCAGGGAAGAGGAGGGAGGGAGGCTTCTTGGCTGAGTTCCCGACAGGGCAGATGCAGAAGGTCACAAGGCCGGGCCAAGCTGGATCCGCGCACACAGGTAACCACCATGTCACACCACAACCAGCGTGAGGCGAGCTTCAGGGGGGTCCCTCTTGCACACAGTGACCACCCCAGTCCCAACGCTGCCATTCCAGACACTGCCATCTGCATAAGCATCTTTTCCTGCCTCCACCGCCACCTGCTTGGCTCTCTCTCCCCAGTGACAATGTCCCACGCGGCCACACAAGCTGAGCTTCCCGGTGAATGTTCTCAGTGTCCAGATGGGGCTGGCATCCTTGGGTCCTCGGGGTTAACATCGGACGAAGGCAGAAGACAGGAATGAGGCGGGGCTAGACACTGCTACCCTGAGATGGGAGGTGAGGCAGGGGACCGGGGTAGACACCTGAAGAAACACAAGGCTGGGGACAGTGGGGAAGGTGACCTGCCAGCAGGAGCCTTCAGGATCCCCCAGACCCACGGGGCCACGCCCTCAGCTTCACTGGCCTGCCCCCAGCCCTTCTCTTACTATGCCCATCTGCATGTCTGGCAGCCAGTCTGGCCCTCGTTACATCTTGCTCCCACCTCCCCACCGCCCCTTCTTCACCAGCCCACCCCGCCTCTACCCACGTTTTCCTCCTGTCTCCTGCCCTGATCCTCCCTTCCACCTTTCAGCCTGCACCTCAGTGTTTTCCCCAGAGACAGTCTGGCTCGGCCTCTCCCTGTATATGGAGCAAGAGCTCCGGGTACCCCTAGCTTGCCACCCGGGATTTGGGTGGGGCATAGTGGGGTACACACCACTTCTGTGCAGGAGTCAGAGGGGCAGGAGGAACTGTGGATATGTGACCACCCCCTGCCAGTCCCTGTAAATGCAGCTGTTGTGTACATGGGGTCCCTGTGCCCTTGGAGCCCGCCCAACGGCACTCTGAGTAAGAGAGGTCAGGCTTTGGGCCTAGACACATCCTGTTGGCTGAGGGCAGAGTGGGCCCACCCACTCTGTGAGGGGGACTCTAGAGAGTCACAAGTCTTCCTCAAAGGAGAGATGACTCCTTAAGTCATCTTGGGGGACTCCAGGGACCCCCCAGAACACAGGCCTAAACTAGTGCTCTGCCTGCCTGAGTGTAGTTCCAGGCCTGTGCTGGACTCTAAGGCCTTGGGAGTTGAGTTGGGCCACATCCATTCCTTCCATATTCAGGAGGGACCCAAGCGAGCATGTGTTTCCTGCTAAGACCTGACCCAGCTGCTGAGTGTGAGGCTAATAGTGATGGCCACAGACAAGCTCTGGCATTTCTGGTAGTGAGCTCACTACAGGACTGGGAGGGAGCCACGAGACAGCTCTGGGCCTTATCGGGCCCCACTCATCAGATGTAGACCCCAGCCTGACTGTCCACCCTCTTTTCTCTCAGACCTCAGGCGGGCTAGGTTGAGGCAGGAGTTGCTGGGAAGCCATGTCCACAGGTGACTTCCTCTGGGTACGGGTCGTAGATGCTGCAGTTGGGAGTGGGGCCCTGGCAGTAGACATTGAGGTAGCCTCGGTACTTGTCTCTGTACGGCTGGTCCTTGAGGCACAGCGTCAAGTTTTTATCACACTCGCACGTCTGCTTGTCACACTCTGTCTCGTTGAGTTCACCTGCCGTGGAAAGGACACGAGAGGAAGGGACTCTGAGACAGTGGCCTCTGGGATGTGACTTCGAGTCAGGAGGTCTTGTGCCTCCTTGGCCTTTAGGGTACCCTGCTCTGGGCTGGTGCCCCATAGCACAGGGTAAAACTGGGGAACCTCTGAACATTTGGGACAACCGAGGCTGAGAAATAGGGATGGGGGAACTGGAGAGATGGCTCAGCAGTTAAGAGCAGAGGACCCAGGTTCGGTTCTCAGCGCCCACATCAGGTGGCTCACAACGCCTGTGACTTTAGTTCCAGGGAACCTGACACCCTCTTCTGACCTCTACGGGCACATGCACACACATGGGACACATATAGACAAGCAGGCACACACACACATACACATAAGCAAAAATGCAACAAAATTAAGAAGGAAAGAGGGGCAGCTTTACCCACCCCTACTGGCTACGCCATGTTTTCCCAGACTCCTCCCTTAGTGGAAGAGCCAGACAAACCCCCACTTTCCTAGGGAGTGATTGGTAAGGGCCAAGTAATGAAAGGTAGTTCTTACTCAAAGTCAAGGTCATTCTAATTCTTCATTTTATGCTAGTACTAATTTGAAAGCAACAGTTAACTTTTAGTGCCATTGTGTCTCATTTGGGACATCCTTATCCCCAAAATGGTTTTCATTGCTTGCCTAAAATCCAGATTTAGTGGGGTATCCTGGGTTTGTCTTTGGGTCCCCATCCTCACCCCCAAGGTCCCATTCCTAGCCAGGGAGTCAGGGGAGGGACTCACTGCAGACAATCACAGTGTCATTCTCTATCCTGTGGTCATAGTGGTCCACATAAGGGCGGCAGCCCTGGTCGAAGAGCTTCTGATAGCAGCAGTCATGGGCGTGACAGCACCTGGGCGGGGGACAGAGATGAGCAGACAGGTGCAGGCGGCCAACGCCCCCACCCCGCAGCACCTCCACCCCACCTCCAGCCCAGCAGAGACCTCCGATCATCTGTTTCAGTCCCTCATGGCCAGCCCTTCAGACTGCAGTCCAGAGAGGGATAGTTACATGCCCAAGGTCACACAGTAAAGCAGAACTGGTGCAGGCACCCTGTATTCATGTCCTGGATCCTACCTCTTTGTCAGGGCTCCCAGCTCCCTCCCTGCCGTGGAGCCCAGAGTGGAGCTGCAAGGGGAGTCCAGGTATCCCCGCAGCCCAGTCAGGGAGGGAGCCATGGCTTTAAAACCAACACGAAGTAACTCAGACTCAATGCAGAGGCCCCGCCTCATTGTGCTGGATGGCCAGGGCGGAGACAGGGCCTGGGGTGGGTCTTCGGGCATTGGGGGTGTGTGTGCAGGATGGGGAACAAATGGAGAGTAGTCATCCCCTCCTCTTCTAAAAGAGTGAAGCCAACTGCCAGCTCCCTGTGGGGCCAGCTTTGGTGCTGGCTGCTGCCGGGGAAGTGAGAGCAGAAGCCATCCATGGCTTCCCAGATCTCTTAGTCTGCAGGAGGAAGCTCGGACTAATGGTGTCCATCATGTCCCTTTGCCATTGTGGAGTATCAGCCACGAGACTGGCACCTCCTCCTCGTCTGTTTGTGGGAGGGCAGGAAATGCTACTCTAATATGAACACCAGAAAGCATTTATGAAGTTAAAGATGGGGATCCTGGCCCTTCCTCCTCAGTCTGTCCATCAGCTGCCCCCATGTCTTCCCATGAGAGGCCTCCAGAACCTACCAGTCTACCTCATCCATGGGCTTGCCGCGCCCCCCCAGCCCGCAGTAGCAGCCGTAGCCCACAAAGTACAGGATGGCGTTCTTGTGTGTGATGGCCTCCACCATGAACTTGAGGTTCAGCAGGCTGCTGTGCGCAGTGGACACAACTGCAAGAGAGCTGGGCATGTGAGTCTGGCCTGGTGACTCCCCAGAGCCCAGACCCAGGGAGCCAGACCCAGGGAGCAGAGATGGGAAAGAGGGGAGGAGGGAGAGGGGAGTGGGGGAGGAGGAAGGAGAGGGGAGTAGGGGAGGAAACATACAAATCCTGAGGGCTGGGGTGTTTCCCACTCCCTGCCTTGAGCCTTACAGCCTGGAGGATAGAATATGGTTCGTTTAGCTGCAGGCCCCACAGCGAGGCATCCTAAACCCTTACATTTGTTAACTCATTGGGTATTCACTGCAACTCCTGACGTTGTTATCACATTTTTACAGATGAGCAAATTGAGGCTGGAACCCTGAGTAACTTGCCTGGGGTCACACTGTCACATGATGCTGGAGAACCCAGAGCCAGGCAGGGAGGGGACCTCAGCCACACCCTCGGCCTCAGGTGCTTGGCTTCTGATGGAGCCACATCCTGATAAACTCATACTATAGTGAAAACACTAAAAGTCAGCGTTACATTTCAGCCACATTTGGTGGTACACACTCCAGCTGCTCAGGAAATAGTCTGAGGCAGGAGGATTGAACATGCAAGGCCAGCCTGGGCAACTTAACGAGATCAGAGACCACTCCCCAAAGAGGTCATCCTGGGTGTCTGGTTCACTAGAGAGTGCTTCACAAATGCCACGTACTGTCCCCAGTTACGGGAATTTGATTCTGGGTCTTTCCACTCCTTTCCTGACCTCTGTCTGGTGTCTCTGCAACTGAAAGGGAGCCGGGGTCCCCCCCAGCATCCTGGAGTCAGTGTCTCAGTACATATGCAGAACAAGCACTTCTGTCCCAGCAAAAATCAGCTTCCTGGCCCCAGCCAGGCCCTCGAGCTGTTCATCCTTCTTCCTCTCTCAACTGCTTCCTTCTCTTGTCTCCTGCAGGGTGTGGGGTTCTCTGAGCCATCTAGACTGAGTCAGTGCCAGGAGCTCCGGGCCTGCAGTCCCTACCTGGGTGAAGCCACTCATTCACCAGCAGGAGGGAGGTTTTATCCCCATTCGCAGGGTGAGAAGACAAAGGCTCAGAAGGTGAAAGGCTTGCCCAGGTAGCCCAGGTTAGGAATAGCAGAGTTCAGGCAGGAGCCTTGTCTGTTCCTTAGCTGGACGCTAAGCCACATGCAACATGGAGCCTGTGTACATATAACCTCCACTCTGGCCTGCTCCAGTGCATCTGGAGTTAGGCATCCCCTCCCCCATTCTCTAGCCTCCCCCCTCTATGGACAAGGAAATGTTCTGAGAGACAGGAAGCCCAGGATTGGAAAGCTGGAGGCTGGATGGACCCTAAAGGGCCTGGAGGTACCCAGCTGCCACTGTGAGGTCCTGGCTACCTCCTCCCCTGACAGGGAAGCCCCATCTCCTCATCTAGATGCAGGCACTTTACCCTGGGGGTAGGGTATATATGGCACCCTGGGGGTAGGGTATATGCAGTACCCTGGGGTAGGGTATATGCAGTAC